CAATGAACAGAATAATAGAAGAAATTCCTATACAAATGGTGCTGAGAAATGTTTGGAACAAGACAACTGCAATGGGGCAAGCATAAGCAATTCAAAAAACTGCGGTGGAAAGAAGTATTTATCTTTCATTGGTACTCGTCACGGATCCGAAACGACGATCTAATTTATGTCTATATAAACCTCGATGCATAAAAATTTCTTTATTTCTCATAATTCGTAACGATTTAATTTATGAATGTAATTTTGTATTCGAGTAGTTAAGATAGTAATTGGATATATTATCTTAACGTAACTTGAAATAAATGAAAATAATTTTTACGATTTTCAATATTTGAATCATAGCTCTCGACTATGTAACGTCGACAAATGGTTTGAAATGGAAATTCTAGCAAAGGATTCTTCTTTTCAACAGTGAACGATAGATGTTTATATCTATATATTAGACATAGAATTCAGAGTGTTTTAAAATTTGTTTATTTGTCGTAATATGTATAGGTTAATTATGATTTGTAACAATAATTTATAAATATAATTTTGTATAAATGTAATTCGAGTAGTTAGGATAATAATTGTACTTGATAAATGAAAATAATTTGTACAATTTTGAATATTTAAATTATAGCTCTTCTATCTAGTATCCTCCCTTCTTATGCCTCTTTTCAGCAGTAGTACGTTTGAAATTTTTTAATCAATATCTGTGCATTGGGCATAGAATTCAGAGTATTCTAAAATTTGTTTATTTCTCTGTAATATATATAGGCTAATTATTTGTAACGATAATTTATAAATGTAATTTGAATAGTTAAAATAATAATTGAATATATACAAACTTAGACAACATCATAAATAATTTTATTTAAATAATTCAATTTCCAGTAACTTTATAACTTTTATGATTTTGAATATTCAAAATTATAGCTCTTTCTATATCAATAAAGCATCTGAAGGGAAAATCCTAACAAAGATACATTTACATTCATTTATAATTTATAATTTGTACTATTATAATTGTATTCGAGTAGTTAAAATAATAATTGAATATATACAAATAACTTAGACATCATCATAGATAGTTTCATTTAAATATTTCAAATTCCAATAACTTAATCTTTATATATTTTGATTATTCAAAATTATAGCTCTTTCTGTGTAAACAAAGCATCTGAAGAGAAGATCCTAGCAAAGACATATTTACATTAATTTATAATTAATAATTTATACAATAATATAATTTATACAATAATTATTCAATAATATAATATATAATATAATTTGTATTTAAATAGTTGAGATAATAATTGAATAATTGAATATACGAATAATGTAGACATCATCATAGACAGTTTCATTTAAATATTTCAAATTCCATTAACTTCATAATTTTTTAATTTTGAATATTCAAAATTGTAGCTTTTTCTATATAACGTCAACAAAGTGTTTGAAATGGGAATCCTAGCAAAG